AAAAAGAGGTTCTTCCAAGATAAATTCATGAAAAGTCCATCTTTTAGACATCAAAATAATTTGAGCACATGATTTTGGAGCATCACATCATCCATTTTCTCCAAGTATCACACCATTCATTTTTTCTTCAAGCTTCATGGCATTTGCTTTCTTTTCAAAAGAATGATATTTCCTATGAATGCCAATTTAATGGGTAGCAACAGTGAATCGCCAGCTTCTCTGTTGAAATTTGCTTAGCATACTCAATGAAGAAAAATTCATGTTTTGGGATACCACTTCACACACATTATCACTTTAGAGTATATTTATGTTCCTTCATCCTTAATGTATTGTTTGGCATCCATGTTTATTTCTTTCCACATGCACTCCCATAATCTTGTTAGATTCTCTGCCTTCAACAATTGAGATATGGATTCATACATGGTCAAGCGCGAATCTTTATCAGTCAAGCCACTTTTGAAATATTCATCCATGGAGAAAACTTTGACCAACAAAGGATTCAGGAGATCTTCAATTGCAAGCATTTTCTTCATCGTGGACAATTGCCAAGTCCGAGGGGCAAGTTTAGAAGGACAAGAACCAAGAGCAACCTTGAAGATCAAAAGCTCAAGCACATCACACTTCATGTTGCTCTAACAATCAAGGGATTCTCCAAGGAAAGGAATGCAACTACTCATTGAACAATCATACTTTGAGAGATCTAGGAGTCAGATTTTACTAAGGACTTGAATGCTACCATGTTGATGTACTTAGTGTGATGTACTAGGCTTTTGCTTTGTAATGAATGACCATCTTTGTAATGCATGTTGAACTGCTTGTAAGTGTCTTTTCTATAGCCCTTGGAGTCTATGGAAATCTCAAGGCGTCCAAAGATATTTTGCTTCATCCGAGGCTCCTTAAGGATTGGAAATCGACAATGTGTGAATCCATATAGCAATTGTTGAAGCACTAAATCATTCAAAATTATGGGATGACTTCTAACATTATTCTGACTTTGTCTATTTTTCTTTTACTTTTTGTTTGTAGGTAGGTTTCATAAACTACTTCAAGAACAAAAACAAAAAATCAGGCATGATAGTCTCCCTATGGTTTTCTCACTCTTTGGAGCAATGCATCATCCATCTAGAAGGCAACCTTCAACATACTCTTATAAGCTCACCAAGATATGATGTTGAAATGGACTTACACACGAGACATGTGGATCTAGATTCAATGAATGAGGGGGCAAATCTAGGACATGGGGAAATTCGAGTATTATTGCTCCTAGGGATGAACCCCTATTTGACATGACCATTACTTCTGCCTTGGGGGCACTTTGGCCAATTGGACAGTCAAGCTTTTCTCTGCTTCATTCATCCATGAGTGGGATGAGTTAGCTTTCTAGTAGCTCAGCTTGTGGCTACATGAAAGGAGGGAATAACAAACTCTTTTATATTCTCTGAAATATTTGCTATCATGCTAATTAGTTTTCCAATCTTTACAATTCAGTCTCACATGTTGCCATATCACCATCCATTAAACTTGATGCAACTCTTCTTGTTAATCATTGTCCAAACCAT